AAAAACACCCCTTTGGACGTAAAAATCTGAAACCTTTCAGTTTTTTGGTGCTACTTTGGTAGACAGTTGCACGGATTTTGGTGATTTTTTTTGGCGAGCAATACGATTTATGGTAAACCCATTGCTAGACAGGCTATTTATGGTAACCAATACTTTGTTGTTATTATCTTTAAAAAATAATGCGTTTTATTATGCATAAATTCCGTGTTTTAAATATTATTTATGACTTCTAAATATTAAAAATCAATTTAATTTCGCATTTTTATTTGAAATAAAAATTTTATTGTTTATGATATTTTATAAGATTTTATGTTGTGGATGATGTAATGAATGACGTCACATAAAAGTAATTGGTTTTAATATCTATAAATTTAATCTAATGTTTTAAACATTATTTATGGCTGTTAAATATTAAAATACAATTTAATTTTGCACTTTTTTAAAAAATGATTTTATTATGTACGATTATTTAAATAATTTTAATTCTATTCGTGATGTAATCAGCTCCCTGATTGGCTACAGTATATTTGTGCATTAACGAGCTTTAATCAAGCTCCCTGATTGGTTACTGAATATTTGTGCGTTACCGCGCCATTTTAAAATTTTATTATTCATCTCTTCGAATTCCTTAGATTACATTTTTCAATTTTTTTCCTTAGATTACATTTTTAAAATTATATTACATTTTTCAAATTTTTTCATTGATATCTAAACTATAACTCCGATTTTTTTTGTGGTACTTATCAATATACGACACGTTAAATACTCAAATGTAAGTACATATTTTTCTTTTACTTTGTAATTGTATACTACAATTTTTATTAAAAAAATTAATACACTGTTTTCAAAAATTCCCGAGATATTTATTGCCACATATGTTTTAATGTTAAATAATTACATCCTATAAAACTTATTTTAGAGCATTTGAATTTAAGTAATATTTTAATTCTTTTAAAAATTGGTATGATGTTTTTAATTCGATATTCAATTTAAGTAATATTTTAATCCAATTAAACGTTGTCGCAATGTTTTTATAGCGGTGTTTTTATTCTATTTCTTTGCTATATGAAAGTAATAATTTAACCTTACTTTAGTATTTTATACTCGTAGCAAATGTATTCATTTACATTTGCCTGCCATCTTAAAAAACGGCATTTTCAACGAAAAATTAATCCATTATTTTTAACGATATTTATTTTTTTAAAGTTTCGAATACTTTACTATGCGCAAAATACGTAAAAACAACGTTTTTCAAGATGGCTGACGATTGTAAAAATCACGCCAACAATTGCACCAAAGTAAATCACCAAAATCCGTGCAACCGTCTACCAAAGTGGCACAAGTTTTTTTTTTTTTTTTTTTTGTTTAAATAGTCCAAAGGAGTTTTTGTCCCTGAAGGACTATTGTTTTCGTTTCACGATTTTGCGTTGAATCACTATAAATGTCCGTTTCACTTTTCAAACTGTTGCCACTAAATGTTAGAGTCCTGCATTATATTTGAAGAAATTAAATAATGTGTGTGATTATGGCAAAGCATCGAGGGCTGTCTACTTAAGGGGAAGGATGCCTTCGTGGAGGACTTTCTAAGGAAAACTGAATCGTCTACACGTTAAACATGGGGAAAACCACGAAAACGCCCACGCAGCCAGCCCATTCGCGGGATTCGAACCTCGGACCGAACTACCAGTGTTCAGCGACTTTACCGCTCGGCGCTGGTGAGCCCGAAATTAAATAATGAAAAAATGTAGGTATATTTCTCGCATTGTGATAAAACAACGGTACCTAGAGCCCTCGAATTTTGAATCCTACTGCGAATATGGGCATGTGGAAGCCCAAATTTGAAATTTGGAGTTTTATTATTATCGATTTCATATTTTGTAAAACTTTGACGAATTTTTGAGCAACAAACTCAACAATTTGAAAGCGTGTAATGGCAACAATCTACGAGGGGGGAGAACTTTTTTATCTCCAGCACGTGGAACTGTGTATTGGAAATTCTAAAGATAGGCTCATTTTAAAATTATTTTGCGACATTGCTATTGAACTGAAATTTATGGTTTAAGTGCGAAGAACATTATATTTAATAAATAAAGGTAACACTCAAAACGTTAAAAAAATGCACCTTTGGATGAATTTAAAATCTGAAACCTTTCAGGTTTTTTTTTTATTGTGTTTATTTATTTATTTTTACGAATGTCTGTTCGGAGCTTCAAATAAAGTATAATTTCCGGTTTATCAGTTTTAACCAAAACCTAATATGTTGTCCCCATTGATAGAAATGTCTTAAATACTAAACTGAAAAGTTTTAGATTATATTGTAATGTAGTGTTTATTAAAACTGAAACGTTTTAGATTATATTTTAATATAATGTTTAACAAAAACTGTTATGGGCTTCTTGTAAAGTACCACTTCTGGTTATTTATCTATTAAAAATTGTTATGGCCTTCAAGTAAGAATGCAGAAATCTTAAATACGAAAACCAGAAGTTCTTGGGAGTTTGGTATTCGGGTAATCGTGGACGATGAAATTGTGACGCACATACATACATGTAAGAAATAGTAAAACCGTGTTGTAGGGACCTGAATTCATGTTTATTCACTGAAGACTCCCTATCAGATATTGGGACCGTAAACATTACCTCCATCACGTATACGGGTTGGAGGAAAGGTAAAAATAATATTCCTGTTTATTCATTGAAAATTTACTATCAATTTTTTTGACGAGGAAATTAGAAAGATATGATTCTCTCCTAATTTTAAATCTTTCTGCTGGAATAATAACATTGATCTTACACGATTCTTCAATTAAAGAACAATTCTAAAATTTTAAAATTTACTCCAGACATTAATTCCTTTTGATAAATTTTTAGAACAGTTAGTTAGCGCATATAATTTCTTCTTAAAAATTTATATAGTATCTTATTCATTGTTTGAATTTGTAACATTGCGATAATATTGATTCTAACATTTTAAAATTATTTTCATAACCGATTTCTGCGTACTGGTCAATAAAGTAGTAATATCCGATTTTCAGTATTCCTCATAATTACTAGCTAATGGTGAAATTATTCTACACATAATAACGTTGTAAAACTTGCCGACATTTAATAAAACATTAAATAAACATTTAATGCAATTTATCTTATTCTTATGAAAACTTGAATGCATAACAACAGTATGAAATCATAAATATTATAAATTATTTAATAAGAGAAATAACTGAAAATAATTAAACAAGAAATGTGTAGCCTCTTATTGTAACATGGATGTGACATTATACAGATATAATAGCTATCTTAACACATAAATAAAATGAATAAAAGTTTTACGAACAAATACTATATTTACAAACACATTTAAAAAAATTTCATCATGCCACTTTTCTATTTAATCACTTTAAGACATTTGCTGGAAATATTTTCAAAAGTAATATCATGAAAATTTCTAATGAAATTCGACTTTCTTATTCTTTTAATCGCTTAAAGCATTATCTTGTGCTAAACAAAAGGATATCTTCTTAAGGTTACTGCCTACCAGAGGTAAGATAAAAAATATATGATCTATGATAGTGATCTTTAAACTATGTTCCGCAGAGCCCAAAGGGTTCTGCGAGTCAAAGTAAAAATTCGACAAGAAAATTATAAAGCACTCACACTATTTGTTCAGCATTTACTAACCAAAAAATATAAAGATGAATTTAGCTATCTTTGAAAATTAGTCAGAAGCTTCGTCTGTTGACTGCCAACGTCCATAACGCAAAGTCAGCAACGTACGTGCGACAGATGCTCCTGTTTTCCGATTGTTCTGACGATGTGTATGCAGAAATGTGTCTAACACAGCTAAAAACATTTAATGCCATTCAGAACAACGTATTTAAGTGAAAAATCTTTCTTAGCGTATGCAGTAGCAAAAACAAACATAGAAACGAATTATATGCAGAATATGAAATACAACTGTAGATAACATAAATATAACTAGAATTTGACAGTTTGAGTAAAATATGCAAGCACGCTCCTGTCACTAAATGTAGCAAAAGATTAGATGACTACTGGAGCACAAGTGAATGCTTAAAACGTGTAGTACTTTAATTGTCTTTATATTGTAGAAACATTAGGTTATTTCAAAACAGGATAGATGAAAAATGAGCAATGCCCTCGCCGGGACTCAAACCACGGACCTCTCGAATACGCACCGAGCTTGCTGACCATTACACCACGAAGGCATGCTAAGGAGGCAGAAGAAATACCTTATAATATAAAATAATAATGATATATTAATGTACTTCAAATATTATTTTCAGATATATTTTTCTAAGCATGGAAGGGTGTTCCCCGAAAAAGGCTTAGAGTTCTAAAGGTTCCGTGAGTCGACGAAGTTTGAACATTACTGATCAATGGTAATAATAATATATGTAGTGCTTACCATATATGTATTACTGAATTAATTTTAACATACTTTATGATGCGTATTGTTTATAATTACTTTATAGGAAGGAATTTTAATATCCTAATATAACTGAATAAAAATGAGTATGAATTCTTATGTATCCTATTATTCTACACGTGACTTAGTTTTCTTATCAAGAACTGGGTAGAATTTTCATGGTTTAAATACTGCGGAAAACTTATATCGCGTCTCTAGAATATCAAAAATCGAGAAATTTCCTTCTAATTCGTTATGTAATCTTCTTTGCGGTTAAAAATAAAACAATTTGTTTGTTTAACGGCATTTCTACTATTTAATTCGGAAGTAATATTTTCCAGCACGGCAAAACGGAACTTCCAATCCTCTTGCTGTAAAACAAGCTACTTGATTAAGATTAAAAGGTTTTTTTCTTGCTTCAGAGCTCTGAATTAGAAAAGGAAAGGAAGGGCTGTGGGAATTTCCCCAATGCACCCAAGACCTTTTAGCTGTTTCTGTCATGGTCCGGTTAATTCAACAATGTTTTAAAATATATCACAGGAAACGGTTAAAGGGAAAGTTTTCGTCCTTTAGGCATTTACGGTAATAAATGGTTTCCGTTTAGGAAGTTAACAACTTCCCCAGGATGGAGAAAGCTGAGTATATAAGGCGATGCACACGACCATTAGTCATCAATCAGCTTCCATTCTTTTCAGCTTTTCAAGTTCTTCGAACCTGGTGAGTACGACTTGAATATAACTGATAAAGTGCAATTTAGTCTTAAAGATCAGTATGCCGAAGATTTTGAATTCTTACACAAGATAATAGACATATTTTATAATCATTGTAGGAGTTATCGACAGATCATTATCACTTATTTAATTTACATATGGATGTTCAAGATGATGGAGCTTTACAAGTAAAGCTTTCATATTCTAATTAACGCCAGAAACGTGATTAGAAAATACTCTTTGATTTCCCGATACGGAGCTTCAGTGTAGTTAAAATTAATTATTTAATTGAAAGAAGTTATTCATTTGGCATTTTATGAGATAAAATTAATCGAAATCATGCAAATCGTAAAATTTGAAATTTTGCGATGGCATATGTGGCTGATAAAGTAATAATAATTTGCTTAATAAAACACCAATAATGATTTTACCTAAAACTTTAGGTAAGCTGTTGTTTTAGAGAATACTTTAAAGACTTAAAGATATTAAATTATTGTCTACAAATCGAAAATTAACAACAAAAGTAAACTTCTTTTATAAATATTGTTAAAAGTGTGAAGAACATACTTACTTTAGTTTTTATAATGGAACAAATAATAAGCTATGTTTTCATACTAGAATATGTTTAATGTAAGACAGAAGGTAGAGTAGAAAATAATATGCTATTTGATGACATAAGATACGGAAACAATATTTACGCTGATATAATTTATGTGTGCATATGCACACTAATTTTTCTTGTGCAAATAAAATTACAAAAAGAAGTGGAGTTCATTAGTGAAACATTTTACACAAGCTAAAATGCAGTACTTTATCTAAAGAAATCAAAAAAGTTAAATATTATTAAAAATTAATGTTTGCAATGATCGCTAGAATTTTATTCATTGCAGAAAGTATAAGATACAATAAATGACTAGTTGTATCATTTATTTTCATTGTTATTTATTCACTTTCTTTCTGTCTGAATGTAGCCCCACAGAAAAATGCCTCATTTAATCATTATACATTATTATACGTGCATCATTATACATCATCATGTATATCATCATTATACGAGAACCAGTAGCTCCATTCCCATGTGTACACTAAATTTCTTAAATTACCAGTAGCCGAGTGGAATGTTGCTGAACACTGGTAGTTCGACCTAGGTTCGGATCACCGCGATGCATGGGCTTTTGTGGTTTTTCTCTGTAACATGAAGCTAGTTTCCTTTAGAAAGTCCTTCTAAAAGGCATCCTTCCCCTTCCGCAGATAACCCTAGCGTGCTTAGCTCAAATCAAATCGAACTTAAATTAAGTTCTAAATGTTATAGATATAATATACGGATGCACCTCTGGAATTAACAAATTATGCTTTTACTATGTATTTATATATAAAAATAATTTAATTATATTTGTTTACTTAATATGTAATAAATTTGAATCTAAAAAAGTTTTCAGCCAGTAGAAATAAAATAAGTATTCTTTTATATTTAAAATGTCTTACCTATGAACAAATTAATGTTATAAACAGAGTTCTTATCAAATGAACCTCTTAATCTGAAGTTTTCATCTGCTATCACTCAAATTTATCTAACTTTTGTCGATTTATGCTAACTTACGTAATGTACCTTTTGGAATTTTAAAGGAAATGCTTCACAACACTTTAGATATAAATGAGAACAATTATATTCTAGTAGAATAAAATATGTAAAAGAAATATAATTTTTCTGTTGAAATGTATTAATTCTTATCAAAACAAAAATCCCAGCTAGATGTGAAAATCATGTAATATTCAATGATAAATGTGTTAATACGATTTTAATGTTAATACGATTTTAATCCTGTAAGTTCACATTAAAATGTTTCATTAAACATTTTTTCTGGATGTTAAGAGACGAATAATGAATTGTTTTGTCTAATGGAAAGTTGTAATAACATTGCATTAATCAAAGGAAATATATGAAACTAATAAAAAATTTTTCAGTTTGTAATTATTTTTGAAAGGTGTTACGGAACAATTGACATATAACGTTTTCTAAAGAAAACACAACTTCATTGTGTTAATCTAATATTAAAGATATCTTATAGTTATGTTTCCTTCGAAAATATACTGAAAGTTTTCGATTTCATTGTTTTCTCATTTTTCAGAAATAGTTCCAGAACATAATGGCCTCATCACAGAAAATCATTTTCATCTGCGTCTGCCTTTTGCTATCCTCATGTGGAATTATTGTAGAAGCTGGAGGTATGATGGGAGGAATGTTTGGTGGTGGTCATCATGGTCATGGGGGTCATGGTGCAGTAGAAGCTCTTCTCGCTGCCGGTCTTCTAGCTAAACTTCTTCGCAAGCACCATCATGGTCATCATGGACATCATGGACATCATGGGCATGGACATGGACTTTGCTTTAGACCTCGCTGAAGGATACGACAATGCAGAGGCTTTGTCACTTGCACCACTGATCACGGTCTTTATGGACATGGTTACAGTGGCTGGTAGAATTTCATAATGTCGAGAGAGTTTGAGCCAAGCCTGAGGAGGTTCTGCAGTTGTAAAAATGTACATTTGTATTATAAGTTCATTGTTTTGTAAATAAAGTTTTGTTTATTTATATAGTTTGTGGTTTGGAAAGTATACCTTTAGAGTACGATGGCACAATTTATTTGCATAAAATAAAAAAATCAATCAAGCAAACGTTTAAAGTAATGGAGTATTGTAAGTAATGAAGTAACGAAATTAATGAAGGATTAAATAAAATGCTGATTAAAATGAGGGAAAGAGTGTAAAATAATTTCGATAATTTATAATTTAACATATCCATTAAATGTTTCACTAATTGTCATTTAATTTTCAATATGTTTTCTGATCATATTATTAATAAATTTACTTTGTGACAATAGTAATAATTTTTAAACAAGCCTCAATATGGAAATTCAAAAATAAATGCTATAAAATATATTATTTAGCATAAATATAGACCCTATTAGGTAAATTCAGAATTAGTTATTTTAGGAAGAGAGTCAATATTGAGAGCAATATTTTTTTTAAGGAATAACAATAAAATATTAGTTTGAAAACTCATTCAAAATTATAATATTTTCTCTATAATGTCATTTGTAGAATAAATTAACTACTTTTTGGAGGTATGAACATGAAGAATTAACGATGCTGTAGCCAGAGCAACTTGTAGAGTATATTTGAATTTTTCATAATCAGAAAGTTTAAAAATGAACAGTACTCTCCCAGAGGTTCGAACTCCAGAACTTCCGACTATTAGCCGGTGCTGCTTCTATTTACACCTCTAAAGTACCTTATTAGAAGGGAAATATTTCATTAAACATTTGCTTTTACTGTATCAGAGATAAAAATATTACAAGAACTTTTAAAAGAGAAATAATGTTTCAGAAAGGTTATAAGGTGTTTCTCCCGCCTTCCTAGCGTGCCTTCGTGGTGTAGTGGTCAGCACACTGAGCAAGTATTTCAGAGGTTCGTGGTTCGATTCCCGGCGACGGCGTTTGCTAATTTTTCATCTCTCTGGCTTCACAAAATAACCTAATGTCTCTACAGTAGCGCCCGAACTAAAACGGTGTTGGATCATGATTCTCCTCGCTCAGGATTTGGCGGTTGGGTCCTCTAAAAATCCCAGTCGCCCTTTAAAAGGTGCGATTTCCTAGCGTGTCTTCGTGGTGTAGTGATCAGCACACTGATCCGCTATTTCAGAGGTCCGTGGTTCGATTCCCGGCGAAGGCAGTTGATAATTTTTCATCTCTCCGGCTTCCAAAAATAACCTAATGTCTCTACAAGGTTAGCGTTCGTTTTAAGGTGAAAATACTACTTTTCAAAGAAAATTGCGAATTTGTATAAAATGTTGTTAAGATTAAAAAATAGTGGCTTACGTAAAAATTAATCACGTACAGGTTAAGTCACAGAACCTAATAACGTACATTTTAAGGTTAGAGGTAAGAGTTTTATACAATCGTTTTATACAGCGACGTTTATTTTATAGCATGGCTATTAATCCTTTTGATAGATATAAACTAGCTCATTTCGTACTGCAGTTACGCACTGCAGTTGGCTCAAACAAACAAGCACTCATTACAAATTTACAACTGACAGATATCGAGCGTATTTATGAAGAAAGAATCCATTAGTCTTGCAACCACCAAAGGGTTAATATGTAAAATTATATAAACTTGAAAATTTTTCAGTTATAAAAATATAATTCAATATTATTATTGCCTAAACTGAACCAACCTATAAAAGAATTTCATGGTGGTAACTGAGAAATCTAATTTTAAAAATCATTGATCTTATATCGGCCTTAATTCTTAAGTTTAAAGCAATGCATTCTGTCTAAAACATTTTCAGTTCTAGAAATAAAAATAAGAAATGTAGAAAATAAAATCTTCAGTTCTAGAAAATTTAAATCTTCTGGAGGGAAAATCCCAGACAGATGATGTTCAGTACTGATGATTTCAAAACCACTGTTCATTTTCAGAGGCTTCGCCACTAGAGAATTCTCTTTATTATTAGCATTAGTTTGTCGGCCCACCAACGTCAAGTCGCTGAACGCTGATAGTTCGGTCTGGGGCTAGAATTCTAGCGAACGGGTTGGCTGCATGGGAGTTATCCTGATTTTCCTCATGTATAACATGTATGCTAAGTGATTTCCCTTAGAAAGTCTTCCACGAAGACATTCTTTCTCTTAGGCAGATAGCCCTCGAGTGCTTGCTAATAAGTAAGTAAACCGAAACATTAATCTGAAATGAAAATTCAGAATATTTCATAAGTACGTTATTGTTATTATCACATCATACGTGGTTATCTGTTTCGAATGTTTTACATTCTAATACCTGCTTCTTTGTGGAGTAGTAGCATTGATTTGAGTATTAATATTTCAATAGAAGTTACATATTTGTAAAGAAATTAGTATTTTAAACATCTTAAATGTTGCTTAATAAATCTTTTATGTAAGCTAAGGTAAAGGGAAATGAAATCAAACTAGTAATGGCTGGGGGAAAAGCAACTGAACAGTAACAATTCTAAAGTGTCCATTTGTATTTGTTACTTTACAACTTTCTTATCTTTCTTTATGAAATGAAAACTTCAGATAGTCAGTTGTTTGCACAGTGACATATTATTGCATCTTCAGATTTCATCAACGATTTTAGTAAATATTGATAAGTATTTTAGAAACATTTTCTCGCAGGAAGAATATTCCAGCGCGGTGTTGAAGACTCTGAATCAGAGTTCTCAAATACAGTTCTTTTTGCCTGGAAACTTTTGCAATTTTTCGAAGAAATACACATTTCTCGAAAATCTCCGAAACGATTGTATAAAGTCAAGAAATTTCTCCGCTTAACTTTAATTTTTGCACACAAGTCTAATACTGAATAATAAATGTTTACTTTTTCTTTGTCATATGAATCAAAATAGGGTTATCTAGCTGTATTTCTATTGTTGAATCTAAATATACTATTTGAAGTTAACTATCCCGCGAGTCTCTTTTGAGAGGTCTTCAAATTTATATGAATTGACGCAAATGTAAAGGCGCACTGAAAAAGAAATCATCTTTGAAGTAAAAGTACATTATGTTGCATTGCACTGATTATGTTTCTTATGAGCCTGGCAGAAGTTGCCATTTGTAACGGGACTCTAACTTCAAAACGTACGGTGCTGTTAGATATTCCACACGCACGTCCTATAATTTTTTACTTCCTTGTACTAAGTAAAAAGGAAGTATTGTATTCGCGAAAAGTTTCAGGCTTCATATTTCAACGCAAATATTCATTTTCACCGGTATCGAATACAATTTAACGATGTTTTGCGTGACATCTGTACGTAAGGACAGAATAAAGAACTCTTTTCCCTCCAAAAAATTGTACAACTAATTTAAAATGAGTTCTGAAGAGAATTTTTCGTGGCGTCTGTACGTACGTAGACGCATAACTCAAAAACGAGTAGCCTCAGAACGTTGAAATTTTGTATATAGGACTGCTATAACATGTAGATTGCACCCTCGTATTTGGTTGCAATCGGCCGACTAAATGCATAAAATATATTTATATATATCCACTCGTTACCCGGCTCAGTGATCTCAGTTTCTTTACTGTTATATGTTTGTAAAATTGTGCATTCTTTGCTTTAAAAATGATTGAATTATGTTTTTCTTATCTTTCGGTTAAGGTTTTTATGGCTTTAGTAAATTTGCAAGCAATATTTGTACAATTATCAACAATTTAAAAGCTGTTTTGCTGCTTGGCTCTTTTATTGAAGATTTTCAGTTTTTTATTGACTTTTTTCATATTAAAAGAGTTTCTAATTTTTAAATTTTTGTGGTATGAGCAAAATTAAAGCACAGTCTTCTAAGTATATTATTCCTGTTTTTTAATATATGTAATCGGAGCCACCAAGTGCGTACAAGGCTAGCGTAGGGTTGTAAAATGGAGTAATTCGCAAATTAAAATGAAATTATTCCCAAGACAATTCTATCTATTCAAATACAGATTCTGTCTATTAAATACAAGATTTATCTACGTATACATAAAACTTTTCTCCCGGTAGCTGCTTATCCATTTATTGTACATTTTGAATTGTTTCTAATGGACCTTGAACTTGTTTCATGTATTTGTTAATATATAACTTGAGTGTATGAGCTTACTGATCGGTAGATTTCGTATTTAAATTACCAAATACCTTAAAGAAACAACAAAAACTTGAGTTTCGTAATTTCTGAATAAATTGTGGTAATCTTTTTTTCAATCAGTAACATTCGATAATAACAAGATTTCGAAAACTTGAGATAAGATTTATCTTTAGGAAATTCCTTACTATCTGAAAAGGAGAGATTTCAACCAGTCTCTTAGTTTTATTTATATGTTTCGTACAAGTTCCTGGATCATTAACATTAAAATTTAAAATAAAATTAGAAGTTTCATGTTTCTTTAAATCGAAAACTAAAATTTCTTTAAATTTTTTAATCTTTCTGACGACAATATAGCAAGCAAACATTATTTTCTTTCGATACTGTATTAGTATCTCTGGACTTATCTTGTTGCATTCTTGTTTTCTTAGTATATTATTTTGAAATGGAGATCCCCGAATTGTTTGCTTTGTCACAAAGATCTGTATTTTGTTCCTAATAGTTCATGATGGTAATTCTTAATTCAGAAACCTGTTTAGTATTTCGTGTTAACTCTTTTTCTCAGTGTAATGTTTGAACACCCTGTAACTTTTCATTGCTGTTTCCAACGTATAAGTTTGACATAAATATTAAGAAACATCACTTTTTCGTATAAGATCCAGAAAGTAACTTGCACTTTGTTTCAGCATTGCATGACTTGAGAAGGCGGAGGAAATATACCTTAAAAACTCTGGCATAAATTGAAAAGTAAATTAAGTAATATTTTCAAGGGGTATATATAGGCGCGTAACGCATTATATTAGTATTAGTTAATAAATATATTCCATTTTTTAAGTATAATAAACGGGATGTTGTTATTAATCAAAAAGTTTGTTATTATCGTTAAAATTGCAGTTATTTCAAGTAATTATTTCGATAAAATATACCAACCAACCATTACCATTAATCACTTCCTAGAACCTAGAAGAAGGT